GCAGTCACATCTCCCACAACGACCTCTCCCCACCACCCACCTCCCCAATAAGTCCAGTCTTCTCATGTTCACAGTATAGCAGTACTGTAGAACTTAAACGCAGTGATGCCGGTGCATCTTCCAACAGACAGAGACCCATTCTAGAAAACCGCAGAGCCGGACTATGGAATTATTAGCACTAGAAAATGTGTTCTAGGATTCTAGTCTAACCCCTTTGTTTCATGATCAAGGATTCCTCAAGGCCACAGTTATTGTCAGAACCAAATCTAGACCTAAAATTGATGCTGTTGCTATTTGTTCTGCTTTGGGTTTTTTGTTTTGGTTTGGTTTTTGTCTTTTTTTTATCTATTTTATCCCCAGCCCAGGTCTCAGTTTTTTAATGAGAAACAATCAGAGGGAAGGAAAGAAAGCAACAGAAAGATGGAGGCCAGACTTATTGTGTTTGTATTCATGGGAGTCTGACTTCTCTCTCCTGTAATTATTTTCTTAGTCTGAAGGAAAGACAGGAAGCAGGATTCTATAATTCTTCCACCCATCCTTTTTTTGTTCATTCACTTGTTTATTCACCAAATATTTAAATATAGCTCACTTAAGCAAGGCATTGGACTAGGTGTTTGAAAATGAAGTTGAATTGTTTATATTCTCATTGAACTAACAATTTAGAGGGACATGTGAATAAGTAAATGGACTATTAATATAGCATGTGTAAATTTAAAATGGATATATTGAGAGCATTATGGCAACTGACAGAATTAGTCCTCAAAATGGCATGAAAGGACCAAAGAAGTTTCCTTGAGGAGCATGACATGTAAGTTGAGGTCAAACAGGTGGGAATGAGTAAATAGACCAAGGCAAGATGGAAGGTCAGTCAGGGAAACTACATATGCAACGACTTGCAGATGAGAGAAAGCAGAGCAAGAAAACTTGATAGATTATAAACAGGCAGCAGCAGAAGATGTACTAAGATTGGTGGCAGGGCCAGACAATGAGGAGCCTTATAAGCCATAGGAAGAAATTTTGATTTATCCTAAGGGAAGTAAAAAGTAACTGATGATTTTTAAAGTGAATACATTAGTGCACTTCAGAGTTAATTTTGGTCTGTTCTAATACATTAAAACTTATGAAAACCAGAATCTTTGTAAAACAGACCCCTGTCAAAGAAGGAAAACTTAAAATACTTTATCCTAATAGAGAGCAATAGAAGAGTGGTAAGCCTGTACTCTGTCAATGGTGGAAACTTCTAAAACCCACACAAAACGGAAGTCCCACCAAGCTCCAGATCTAACAAGTTCTATGGTATAAAGTCAATGAAAAAAGATGGTGGGTAGAATTTTTAAAATACTTAGGATATAAAATTAACAGGCCATATGAGAAGTGAAAAAAAGGGATCAGGCAAAGATGAAATCAGTTTTCTGGCTTGGGCAAATGAAAAGATAGTAGAGGCAATTAACTAAAAGGAATGAGATGAGAATAGGAGATAGGTTTGGGTTAGTGAGTTGGTGAGGTTAATTTTCAATGAGTATAAGAAGTCTTTAATGCATTAATGCATGGAGGGGATTGTAACCATGGCAATGAAATGATATTCGATAGCATGAATGTAAAGCTAATGTTCTCCCATGTAAACTATCACATAATTCACAATAAAACATTAAAAAAAAAAAAAAAAGCCTTTGAAATATCCAAATAAATATGCTCAGTAGTCAATAAGATGCATGGGTTTTCATTTTTGTCTAGATTAGAGAGCTGGATCTGGAATCCATTAACATATAATTTAAGACACAGATAAGCTTCTGCAGTAAGTAAACAATTGAAGAGTGGGAAGGAAGATGGTCTAGGAGAGGAGTCTAATAAACAATAAAAAATTTAAAACAGTAGTGGCTGTGAATGAAACAAAAGAATTTTCCAAATCATGCAAAGCAAATGTAAAGACTGTCTCTAAAAGGAATGGAGTCCTGGTGTGGCGCTGCAGGACAATGTGCTGGATCTGAGGGTCATGAACCCCAAGTCGGCAGTTCAAACCCACCAGCTGCTCCTCAGAAACTCTGTACAGGGTCATGATGGGTGGCAACCCGCTCAACAGCACTTAACAACAAAAACAATGACAACTCAAAGGAAAAGTCCTAGTAGCTTCCGGTGGGCAACTTATACAAAGATTGTATTTATATGTTTTTACTGAATACCTTTAAAAATTAATTAAATAAATAAAAACAAAAAGCACCCATTGTCCACAATATCATGCCAACCGACAAATTTCTGTAGAAGATGGATCAAGATCAAGACTGTGAAGGGTATAGTCAGCTAAAGAGTAAGAAGGAGGTAAAAACTAGAGGGAGGAAGTGCAGACACCTCTCTACGTTTTGTTTTTGTTTTCATTGTGAAACAAAGGAGAGAAATAAAGGTAGCAGGAGGGAGACATGATGTTGACAATGCTGAGGAAAATCTAAATATTTTTAACTAGTGAAGAGAAGAAGGTGGAGAGAAGGAGAGGTCAACGGCTGTAAGCAGCATCAGGAGCTTGGAGTCCAACTCTGGGGCCCTGACATTGGTCATTGTGCCCCATACATGACATGATGGGCCCCAGATGAACCTTGGTGCTCAGTCTAGAAAAGTGTTGCTATCCCCTCTCCTATCCACCCTTCTGCCTGTCAGGTTGACAGTTGAGAGGAGTCAGGCCATCAGCACAAACTGAAATACACTGAAAAAAATAAGGATAGCCAAGACTTGGTTAATGAGCGAATATGTCTCCCTTTAGGTGGAATAAAAATTTGCTGCCTGGTACAAATGGTTAAATGGCTACTAACTAAAAGGTTAGTAGAAGCACGTTGGAGTAAAGACCTGAAGATCATAGGCACTGAAAACCCTATGGGGCACAGTTCTTGCTGATATACATGGGGTTTCAATGAGTCTGAGTGGACTCAATGACAACTGGTTTAGGTAGGAACAAGCCCATTTTCTACTTGAGAATCAACATGTTCAAAAGGATATCAGATCTGGTGGAGACCTGGTTGGCCAGAAGTTGGGCAAGACCTGGGGACTCCTGGGCCCACAATCAGTGACATAGCCACAGAGGGCTAGAGTGGAGAATGAAGCATCCAGCTGATAAGAAGAGAGGGCATATGCACAAGAACACCCATACTTTCAGATAATACCCACTTGACCTGGCTTCAATGGCTGGATGATCAGAACTCAACTAGGAGAAGAAAGCAGAGGAAAAAAAGAGTAATCTGATACAATTTGATGAACTTGACCTACACCTATGGATGCAGTAACTCAAAAGAGGGAACAAATTTTGACAGTGAGGATCATTTCCACCCCCCCAAAACACGAGTAGTCAGGGAAGCGCAACTTGGACACTGGCTATCCAAAATGGGTGGGGGGGGGGGTGTTACAAAGTCAAGAAGTGACTGGCTTACAAGCTTTCAAGAGGGAGACTAGATCCAGAGGGTGCGGAAGGAGGTAGAATCTCCACTGAGTAGTAGTAGCCAATCTGTCTAGGAGAGGCTAATGAAAGGAGATGGGGATAGGTCTCATGTGATACAATAGTGAATAATTGTTATCAGGACTGATTGTGAGGGTTGGAAATGTAAAGGTAGACGTTTTATAGCAATAGGAGGGGAGTGGTTGACTTTGCAGTCCAGGAGCGGAGGTCCCTGGGACCATCAAGAGAGAAGAGTGGAGTGCGGGACCTTACCCAGAGAAACAATGACCCCAGAGATGGAGGCAGAGACGATGATGTGGAGAGATGGAGAGGCTGGGAACTCTAGACCCAGAGAGGGAGAGGGGCTGTGTACTGACAACCAGGGAGCAGGCTTGCAGGCTGTACCATTTGGTTGGTTGATGATGCAAGGAGGGATTGTAACCATGGCAATGTAACAATATATGATAGGATGAATGTAAAGCTAATGTTCTCCCATGTAAACTATCATATAATTTACAATAAAACATTTAAAAAAAAAAAAAAAGGATATCAGAACTCACAAGAAAGAAAGAGAAAAAATGAGTAGCAAGCTCAGGAAAAAGAGGAAGAACAGCCTATATGTTACATGGGACACAATTATGCAGTCCATGTAAAGGTGTTAACTTCTATATGATCATTGTGGCTGTTGTTGTTGTTTAATATCATCGGGTTGGTTCTAACTCATCGTGACATTGTATAGGGTTTCCAAAGAACAACTGATGAGTTTGAACTGCTGACCTTGTGATTCAAACCAACCTTGAAGTCCAGTGCTTTATCCCACACTGCTGCATCAGAACTCCAATAGGGTGTACTAATACATTTTCTAATTTCTTGTTCTTGTCTAGTTTCCAGTTTTCTAATTTCTTTGCAAAGAATCTTATTTATTCTATATATCCTCCTTAAGATAAACTTAGCTTTGGTTCTAAGTATTAATCTATTCTATCTAGAAATTTTCTTGTAAAGAAAAGCCTAGTCTATATTCAAAAATTTGTGAAGTAAAGTAAACATATTCTACTTCCACTGTACATTTTATAAGCAATCAGAAGTCTGTACCTTAAGTAAATCAGATGATGTTATCCTTCCCATGATACCAATTTATGAGACAATTAAGAAAGGACTTGACAAGCTGTCTATAAGAAACCAAGTCACTAAGAAAGAGAACAAAAGAGTGTTTGTGTTTTCTATTACAGTGATTACTCCTTTTTTTTGTGGTTGAGTCATCATTTGTATCTTGTTTCTCTCTCATTTCTACCTCTCTTTCAATAAAACATCCTCTAACATCCTTTCTGATGATTCCTGAATACTTCTCTTTCTATAAATTGACCAAGATTCCCCCATCTTTTTTAAAGCATCTCAGTCTCTTAACTCATCATGAAAGGAAATTGACAATGTCTAAAGACTTACTCATCCTCAGATTTTTTTTTTTCATGCCAAGAAACAAAGGTTTTGGGGGAGAAACAAGTCAAAGTAACATCAATTGCAAAGAAAGCTTGCCAGAATTAACAATGTGGGACTGCTTTCTGAAATATTTTTTCTTATTTAGCCTTTCAGGTTGCCCGAGAGCAAAGAAAAGTGGCATCAGGATAGCACAAAGCAAAGAAGACAAAGAAGATCAAGAGCCAATTAGGTATGAGTGCCCAGTGAGATCAAAAATACAGTCGGCATGGCGGCAAGTGTCGGGGCAATTTCAAAAGTTTAAATGAAGCAATGAAATATGACTAAAATAAAGAAACCACATCTTTTGGGGAGCATTCTCTGAATTCAGTAAACAGAGAAGTCAGATAAAAGTCACCACTAATTTATATCTAAAGCTAAAAGCATATCCAATCATTAGTTGAAAAGCATTGTCTAAAGCACAGGTGATGTTTAACCCTAGCCATTAGCAATTATTTATCTTAATGGGTTACACATTGGGCTGCTAACCACAAGGTCAGTAGTTTTTGTAAACCAGCTGCTCTGCATGGGGAAGATGAGACTTTCTGCTCCTGTAAAGATTTACAGCCTCGGAAACACTATACAGAGTCACTATGAGTCAAAACCGACTCAACAGCACAAAGACAGCCAGCCAATATCCAACCATATGGTGAAGAGCTGTCTAATGTTGTGAATAAGCAATATCACAAGAAGTTTGCCTCTACTGCTTGATGATATAAGCAGTTTGATATACCAGGAAAAACAGGTTCATGGAATTATATAACACTAACAGTAAATTTCTGATATTTTGGCATATAAAACTAATTATAGTCTGCCTTGCTTTAAAAAAAAAAAAAGGACCCAAGACAAATGGTTTATACTAAGTATCAAACAAGTTGAAGAAGAATCACATTACCCTCTGCTTCTCATACCAGGGTATTTTTGCCCACTTGAATCTCAAAAAAATAATATGATAAATAGAGTGCTACTGCCTTAAATTTTTCATTTCACTCAGTTTCTTTGGGGAAAGAATTTATTAGCAATTCTTAGCTTAAAAATTATTAAATTGAATGAAAACTTAAAGTAAATAGGCAAACCAAATTCTGAAGAATGCAAACTTAGTAAAATATATATAGGCAAACTCCATAAACTTTGGGGCTTGTGAGTGGCAAATTAAATCACATCTTTTACATTCTTTGAGTTGCATGAAAACTTTTTAAATTTTGTATCCTCTATCCTTAATAGAAAATCTTGGGAAATCTTGATGATCCAATTGTTGAACATTAGCATTAGTTGATGATTTTTCCATTTATTCCAAAAAATTATCTGATCTTGGACTGTGTGCCAATAGCAGTCTAGGAGCTTCAATAAAATAAAGTCATATCTAACTGGAAGGGTATTTTAGGGCTTTCAGAGAACTAAGTAAATAAATGTTCCCTTGTTGCTGTTAAGTGCCGTCGAGTCGGTTCTGACCCATAGCGATCCTGTACAGGGTTTCCGAGGGTGTAAATCCTTATGGGAGTAGAAAGCCTCATCTTTCTCCCGAAATGTTCCTAGCTCTTAAGAAAAACACAGGTTTATGAAATAGCCTTTAAAAATATAACCTCACTACTCATCAGCTTTGCATTTTTCTACCATGAAAGCTATTATTCTGTCCCCAAAAAAGGTATCTTTTAAACACTTGCTGCAATGATCTAATTTTCTTTTTCACATGCTGGAGCCAGTCATCCCTCACAAAGCATAGAAATTTTGTTCTTGGAAAGTATTGTGTCAAGTGTGGAATAAGTTATTTCAGCCAGGATGAAATACTTAATTGCTCCACTAGGTGGTGTCTTTTAGTAATTTTTTTTTTTCTTTTTTCTTTTTTTCTTTCTTTTTCTTAGCCAGTAGAGCATGATTGTTCTTTTTTTTCTTCATGTCAGGTTATTTTGACTTTGTTATAGAGGCTACCAGGTATATGATGGCAAGACAATAAAGTTTATCTCATCTATCTGCTATCCAGATGTCCAGTTCCTGGTTGTGATGGTCAGGGTCATATAACTGGAAAGTATGCATCCCACCGCAGTGCATCAGGGTGCCCCCTAGCAGCCAAAAGGCAAAAGGATGGGTACCTAAATGGCTCCCAGTTCTCCTGGAAGTCAGTGAAGACGGAAGGTATGTCATGTCCCACTCCAGGATGTGATGGATCAGGACACGTCAGTGGTAGTTTCCTCACACATCGTAGGTGAGTAATTATCCTATTGGTTGTTTTTCTGCTTTTGTTTTTAATAGATATGCTGGAAAATATGTCACAAGGCTGGTATGACATGAACTATCTAATCTATCACCTTTATTTAAGAGAAAAGAAAAAGACTGAAAACTATACCTAATTAATGAAGTGCTGAGGTTTGGGGAAAATACATCTTTTTTTTTTTAATTTTTTTGGTAAATCACAAACTTCTTCAAGCACATCTGTCTTCTATAACAGTGGTTTCCAAATACTTATTTTCAATCATGTTCTAAAGCAGGAAACAATGTTTAATGTTATAGGCATGCATGATTATCTGAGGATCGTTATTTATCTTGGAGGCCACATGCGGGACAAGAGAGTGGCATTTGGCCCAGTGGCATCACGTTCAATGCCTAGGCCAAAAATATATCAGGAAATTTCTAAAAGATTCAGGCAACCCCGTTAGTTAGTATTTCCTTCTTTTACAAAGAAAAATGTGCAATTAATTTTCTTAAGAAGAAAAGGTCTGCTTTGTCCAATCAAATGGTTTCATTATAAAAGAGTGAAGCCCCTATGATACAGATAAAGCACAAGAGGCTAATAGATACATTAGAATCAGTTTCCTGAAAACCAGACTGGGGAGAATAGAAAATTCATGAATCTTCTGAACAATGCAAGTGTCATGTCCTTCCATGAAAAGATTTTACAACTATTCCCCTGCTACTTCTTTATCACGGCATTTTTTTCTGTACAAATTACAAACATGCATCCTGAAATTATTTGTAAAGGCATATCGAAAACAGAACAAAGCAAAAGTTCATAAATAAACCAAAAGGAGTATGTGATATTGAGCCTGCAAAACAGCATCTGACAGCTTCTGACTTCACAAGAGGAAAGTAGAATCATACTCAACATCGACCTAAGGCCAATTCTTAGGAAACCGAGGTCAGCTATACCTCCACCCTCCAACCTTCTTATTAAATCTGACACCAGCTATCCATCCCACAACACTCTCAGTAGAGAATTTGATCATTAACTGCAATGGCCACACAGAACTCAGACAACACTCACAATTATGGGGTTTTATCAGGGAAGTTAACAGGTGCAATTCAGGATCATAAATGTTCAGAATACAGTTCTTAGGCCACCACAGTGTTTCCTAGCCATGCCCATAGGCAGGCCTCTCACTTGCCCTCGCACCCTTGGCCTGGCCTCTGCCCTGCATATGCAATGTTACAAAGCTCTTTTAATACTGCTGGTAAATGTCTAAAAGTCCCTCCACTTTACTATAAGCCTCGGTCTGAAGGCACTCAGTTCTAATTTCCCAGTTGAGTGCCTGGAGGCACTGAATGCCACAATCCCTGGGCTTTATTTGCTCGGGAAGCCTGGAAGCCCACTGCTCTGGTTCTCAGTTCTGCCACTCCTCTGATGTCACAGCTCTGTCTCCTGGGTCAAGTAAGTTCAATGTGCAGGATTTGGGATTCAAAAGGATATGTTCCACTCCTGGAACATATTGGAAGTAAGTTCTCCTTTCCTGCTTCTGATATGGCTTCTTTTAAACCTAACAGGAAGGCAAAATTGACCCATCACCTCATTAATTGTCCAAGTATTTACAATCACAATTAACCTTGTTAACAGCCACTCACAACTGAATCAGCATTTTTTCCCACCTTCTCTTACCCTGGACCATCTGGAAAAAGTTAGTTGGTGGGGGTTACAAAGACTATGGCTGGAAGAGACATTGAATATTCACTGCATGCACCACAAAGCCTTAGCATTTTAAAGCAATGTATACGTTTTTAGTAACAAAAGAAATTCCTATTCAGGTAGAATATCCAAACAGTATAAGTGAGTTTAAAGAGAAAAATTGTATTTCCTTTCCCTGGCTCAATCTCTCAACCCACTTCTCAAAGATAATTCATTCCTGTGTCTTCTTTTAACAATTGCCTTTAAATATAAAAACACATGCATCAATATAGATACATTTACACATATAAGCACACACGTATATGTACCCTTCACTGCATTTTAATTTTGCACAAATGAATATTAAGGTAGTTTAGATATCTGCATTAGATCAAGGAGCTTGTCTGTTTGCCTACTATTGCTGTTGTTGTTGTTAAGTGCCATCAAATCCATTCCGAATCATAGCGACCCTATATAAGCGTTCCAAGGAGTGGCTGGTGAGTTTGAATCAATCAAACAAACAAATAAACAAGTTGCCTACAAGTCAATAATGACTCCAAGCAACCCCATGTGTGTGAAAGTAGAATTGTACTTCATAGTGTTTTCATTGGCTGATTTTTCAGAAGTAGATCACCAGGCCTTTCTTCTCAGGTGCCCTGGGATGGATGTGAACCACCAACTTTTCAATTAACAGCTGAGTGCGTTAATGATTTGCACCACCCAGAGCCCAGTAAATAGTAGGCATTTGTTCTTGGATGAATGAATTGTTCAATATTAATACCCAGAAAGCTGCCTCATTCCTCTTCGGTTACAGATGATTAATTTATACGTCCCTATCACCATTCCTGGTGTGGCGCTATGGGTTAATGCGCCAGACTGCAAAGCTGTTTGAACTTCAAGGTCAGCAGTTCAAGCTCAGCAGCTGCTCCTTGGAAACCCTATACCAGGTCGCTATGGGTCAGAACCAACTCAACTGCACTTAACAATAACAACAACATCATCATTCTATATTTCAATATTAAGGAAAATTCTACAAGAAAATTCATTATATATATCTTAATGTACTTGTGTAATGATATCTTTAGGATACATACCTATAAGCAAACACGCTAGTTTTTTTTTTGTTGTTGTTGTTGTTTTAATTTCAGCTGTTAATATTAAAACATCCTCCAAAAATTATGCAAAATATATTGCTCCAGAAAGTGATTTCTCACTTTCCTTCAACAGGTTAACATATCTAAATTCCTCCACCACTCCTCTGTCAGTTTGTCATACTGTGGTTGCTTGCATGTTTCCATGATTCTGAAAGCTATGCCACCGGTAGTTTAAATACAAGAGGGTCAACTATGGTGAACCGGTTTCAGCTAAGCTTCCATATGAAAACAGACTAGGAAGGAGAGATAAACTACTTCTGATTATTTAGTCACTGAAAACCTTATGAATAGCTGTGGAGCACTTCAGATAGCATCAGAATACTGAATATTAAAACATGATGAAGAGCACCAGAATACTGTCAGATATAGTGCTGGAAGGTACACAGGTTGGAAGGCACTCAAAATATGACTGAGAAAGAGATGCTTCCTCAAAGTAGAGTTGAGCTTGATGATGCAAATGGAGAGTAAATTTACTGATGGACCTTCATTTACTGATGAAGCACAACTCAAAATGAGGAGAGACAGCTATAAACATCCACTAATAATCAGAATATGGAAGGTCTGAAGTATGAATCTAGGAAAATTGGAAGTTGTCAAAAATGAAATGGAACACATCCTGCTTTAGCCCTGAACTAAAATGAAAGTCGCCACTACTCCATCCTTATCCACATGCGCCTCAGTTTACTCTCTTATTTGACACCTAAATATTAAAAATTAAGAGACTTATTAATGACTGAGCTCCTCTTTTTTTGGGTTTGTGGCTCTTTCCTGATTTCTTTTCTCCACAGAAATGCATCTTGCAGTAGTCTCTGACATAAACAGTTTGTTCTAATGGACACAACTCATCTTTCCATTCCTGATTGAATCTTGAAGTAGAGATCATATTTAGTGAAGAAAATCACATCTTACAGGCTTATTTTACTCAAACAATATACTACACCAACAAGTTCTCCTTCGTAAAAGTGTGTCATTGTACTCCCTGTGTGGTATGCAAACAACTCATCCCCAGAGCTCTGGAGTTTATGCTCCATTCTTGTTAGTCATCCTACCTTTACTACAGATATAATCAACTGCCGTGTTCAATATTCTGGATCCCTTGAGGAGGGCACAGAAATATAGAGCATGACAGAAATGACTACAACAAGTCCCAGTATCCTTCCCAGTCAGAGGATCACCAACTTGTGCTGTAAAGGGCATGGCGATGCCACTACTGTGGCCATTATTAGTCCACATGGAAAATGGAGCCAAAAGGGATGAAAATTTCAAAGTTTCTCAGGGTTAATTGATGTTCAATGTCATACCTTTGGCAGAGCTTTGAAGAGCCTTTGATGTCTTCTTTTACGTGAAAGCTTAATGGAGAAGGCTCTGAACTTGCTGACATTAGTCTTCTCTGAGGAGGGAAAGGGAGATTGTTTTGTGTGTAGGCATGTGTTTCTGATACATTGGTAAGATCCCAATGTTCATTTTAGGTAGTGTGTGTATATGAAAGGGAAACAAAGGCCAAAGGGAACTTTGGTAAGAGTGTTCGTTAGGATCTGTGGGGGGAGTGGACCTGTGGTTTTTATCTATTCGACAAAGTTCCATTTATTTTTATTAAATAGATAAAACATTGTTTTCTGGAAATATAATAATATTAATATTGGGAAAAACACAACTAAGTGTGTGAAAACTATATAATTAAATCAATAAATGAAAGCTAAACCATTCCTTTTTTCTCAGAAGGCCCATCGCCTAGCCTTGACATATAAAGCAGACTAGCAGTTTTCCAGAGCCCTTAAGGCATCGGGCTTAATAAGATTCCCCAGAAAACCACTGTCTGTACTTTAGAATGTGTGGTTCTTTTCATGCCTTATCTGCTAAGAAAACAAAGAAGCTTTTAGAATCCGAGGGAAAGACTAGACAAAAGAAATCTTACACACACACACACACACACACACACACACTTTTGTATTTCCCCACCCCAAATGGTAAAAACCTGATTAGATGACTAAAGAATTACTTCCTAAGGAGTACTGGTGTGGTGCTGTAGGGTAAGCACTGGATTGCTAACCACAAGGTCAGTGATTCAAAACCATCACCTGTTTCTTGGAAACCCTGCACAGGGTCACTATATAGCACTTAACAACCACAAAGCCATAGGAAACTGATGTTCTGTCCATTTACTCTTGACAGTCT